CATAATACCTTAAAGAATGTTTTTAAATTCCTCAGGATAAAAATGTGTATTTTTAAAAAAGCTTTACAAATTGTATGCAGCCTTCAGAGGGCTATTTCCAAAATCGGTCCTTTTAAAAGTCGTGACCTTGTACTGGAAAAGCGTTTGGAAGATGGATGGAGTACTTAGAAAAATTAGCAATGCAACACAGGCAGGTACATGAGATAATAGGGCTGCTAGCGGTTAGTGTTACGGATTTATCAACAGGGAATATCTGAGGGATGTCAACTGGTGAAACATGCAGGTATTCTGGAGCTGAGGAGGTGCAAATTAACGACTGATCCTGCTTTCTGGGGGATTTGTCATAGCACCGTACGTTGCAGAGAGCCCTTAAGTCCGAATGTAGCAAGTGACCTTTGCACTGCATGTCTGTCATCATCGCAGGGGGACAGAAGCCGCGCTCGTGCTCATTACCGCGTACGGACCAGCGACTGGCCGATCTCCGGAAAGGCGCCAAATGGATCAAAGGCAGCGTACAGGAGCTGGGGGGGGTAGAAACAGATGATCTTGCAGAGCTACTGGATCACCATGTCAGAGGAAGCATTTATCGTCTGCGTGTTAGATGTGGGCAGCGAGAAATGTCAAACAGTGTTTGAGCTGGAGAGGAGTGTGAGTGGTGTACTGAAAGGTAGGAAGGAGGCAAGGCCGGCGAGCGAGCGGCCCCAGAGCATCTCACGACGCCTCCGAGATATCAACAAGGCCCGCAGAAAGCCAGCACTGTCATCGTCGCAATTAAGAGCTTAAGGACCCATCCGCGTTCCCGTGTGGGAATCGGTTAGGGGAAAGTTGTCATGGCATTAATTAAGCAATCAGTAGAACATTCCCGGTTCTCCGTTCCCGGCACTGATTTGTTTGCCCGCGTTCAAAGGAGCGGCAAGGGCTGGCGTGGCTCGCCTTTCAGAAGTGATATCTGGGAGCGATTGATCCCAGTGAACCACAAAATCAGTTCCAGCCCTTATCTACCTCCCACCCAGACTGCGGGCTCCGCGATGGGAAAGTCTGCAGGCCGCTACAACATGAGGCCCACGCAGACCAAAGAGGCACATGTTTGCAGTAAGGGCGGCACAGCCACAGGCTGTGGCGGGGGCCTGACACAGCGCCTTGGATCTTCACGTAAACACGACATTTTCGTTTTGTCTCTTCTGTCTGATAAAAAAAATAAATTCTTTGCAGAAACATGACCTCACGATCTAAGACACTGGTAATTAAACCCAGCCTTGATATCACGCAATAATGATGTATATTACTATATGCAAGTAGAAAAAACTGCATTATCGTAACATTTCTAACAATCTTATATGTTTAGGATACTTGCGACATTTTCCACCAGCCGGAGGAATGTAAAGCCATATACATTTTAGACATCTCATATTATTATGCATTACCACAAAAACTTTGAAGTCCCGGACTGTTTCACAAATACCAATCAGATGGTTTTTGCGCTCTCTCATATGGCCTTTTGCGAAACGCAGTGGGTCCGAGAGTCTCTACCCTTAACAATGTGCAGCGCATGGTGATTAATTACAAGTTTCTGAAACTGACAGCTCAGTTTGATTTTTTTTTCAATTTTGGAAAGTCACCCAGCTCAGGAATTGAATGTAAAATGCATGAGGAGCTTCTGAAAACACGGTCGGCGTAAACAGTTGCGGCACTAATACCGGCACGTACTTCTGGGGCCAGGGAAATGTTCAAGCGCTCTGTGGAGACGGCCCTGCAGCAGAAAAAGCAACCCTCCCACCTGACTCCCTTCCATCTTAGTTTACAATGACCTTTCGGCCCCCCGGTTGATGGCACACTGACGTTAAGTACCATGCAGTTGGCGGCATGTCAGAGCAACCTTCCGGTGCTAAACCAGCACCTGTCGCTCACATCAATCGACCGGCGATGCTCACAAACTCCAAACTAGCCATTTCAACTCATTAGCGTTTGACTCTCCCTCGATTAACAATAAACACAAGGAGGTCCAGCCTTTACCTTCAATTATTCTGCTCTGAGGCCAGAAATCCAACTAATTAATCCTGGTAACAGCTTAATGAGATGCAATACTTTTGGAAGATGAAGAAGAGAAATGAGGTCGTGTGGCACCATGACTCTTGTAACCATTAACCGGTGACTTATGTAAGGAAAAATGGATGGTATCACACCAAAGAGGGGCTCACCTTATTTTAAGAAAAAAGGGTAAAATAATGCAATTACCAAAACTAATCAGAAGAGAACATATATCAAGACAAGACTGAGATCTGGTGTGACCCCCTTGGCCTGAGATAATGAGCGGGCTCGTCCTGGGACGATAAGAGCATGTTTATGCCTCCCGTTGGTGGGATCTCATTCCAAAGCGGGAACTCAGAGGAGCCCCAGATTGCAAGGCGAGATTGAGGCCCAGAAGGAAAGTTTTCAGACTAAACGAATCTCCTGGTTCCCCGTGGAAAATCTCCAAGGACTAGTGGAGCCTGGAGGAAAATCCAAAGACAGAAATAAAGAGGCCTTGTGTGACCCGGCGTTCCGTAGCCGCTCGCGATAATAACGGAACGGAATACGAGAAACCGCATGAGCGCAGGATGAAAGTGAAGGCGACGGGCACCCACGCTCCAGAAACGTCCCCCCCGCCCCCCTGGCCTCGGGAAGCTGCGTTTGCAGGAGGGCTGGGCCTCCGGTCAGTCAGGACGCGGAGTGGAGGGGAGCGGAGCGCGGTTTCGGCAGAACACTTAACTCTACGAAGCCCAGAAACTTTATAAGTGCTAACAGGGACACTAACAATAAGGGCTTAACAATAAGCTTCATAAATTAAAAAATGACATGAGATATAATTAATTCCATTGGTTCATTTGTCATAAGGAAATTCGAAAATACATAAAAATCTGTTAATACTAAACATTACATACTGCAGATATTTCTGAAAATATAGGCATATCTAGACTACCTATTTATAATCATGCAATGATAATCATTTGAATTGACCTAGTATAAAAAGTATGAATTAGAATATTTATGGATTATACAAATACGCATTGGTGGGTGTGTTTATGACGGATATTTTTCTTTATATAATTAAATTTCAAAACAGCATTTGTGTTTATTTCGTGACACGACGAAAAGACAGCGCGCTGTCATTTTTGCACATGCGCACATTTTACCACATACATGCAGGTATGCACCTGTACTCTATACTCACACATATGTGCTGGATATGTGTAGCTTTGCCTCAATCAGTGATCGTTTAGTCGGTATATAGAGGCGCTTTACGTTATATGTCAGCCAGCTCCTGACGCTTTTTAATGGATGCTTTTCAGGAAGCGCAGCTGGTAATGAGACAGGCAGACAGGCAGGAAATCGGAGCCGCTGTTTGGGTCCCCGATCCCGGCCATCAGCCGCATAAACCTGCAGCCCAGACGAGGCCCGGACCCTCCGAGCTCCCATTCACTGCCTTTTATAGATGACTATTAAATCGTCAAATTGTTTCGACTTGGAACGATTTCATCTCGTCCACTTAATGCATTTAGCAGGTGTCCAGGACGACTCAAACAGAAACGGTTTATAGCAGGCATGTGGCAAAAGTTTGTTTTTTCCCTATGTATTTTAACGGGGTCGGTTTAAACAAAGGTGTCAGTGATCAAAATTATCATCTATGGCCACAGGTTATCTGGCTAGTAAAGAAAAACATGTGCCGCTACATTAAACTGTGTTTCTCAGTGCGATTCATCCAAGGTAAATGTTTTCATTAAATCGCTTGTTTTAATGAGATTTCCTTTAGGGTGTCTTTGATTATTTTAAATGCTTTGTTTGTGTCTACAAAGGGCAGCGTGTGTGTGTTTTTAATACAATACACACAACATTTGGAGTATGGAGCAGAGATTTCACAGATTCCAGCATCCCACTTTCATCTCAAAATGATAATTTATGTGTATCAAGCTTGAAAATACCACGAAAATTAGAATGAACAACATCCATATAAATAACTCATCTATATTACCTCTTCTTATTTGCTGGAAAACAAACCATTGAAATTCCAGCACCCTGCCACACTTCATATATCATCGCAACTGTAGAGAACACAATTAAAATATCAAAGATGTATTAAACGGGACTAAAATGGAAAACTTCACAAAAGAGAAACCAAACTCTTTTTGGAGGATGAAGTATGGCATCACACTCAGCAGGGGGAAATAATTTGGATAAAGTAAACATGCATATAAATTATTGTTGTTTTTAACATACAAACGATGAAAAACTAAACGTATTCCTGCACTGATTGCAAACACAAACAGTTTTGATAATCGCTGCTGTTATTAAAAAAAGGCAGTAAAGTTACTGTTTTGTTTTCGGAGGGCGGCTTTTGTACAGTGCGTTTCGTAATATGTTTGTTTCCGAAGACAGTTTAAAACTACGCCGCAATAGAATGTTTTCATAATAAGCCGTGACAGTTAATAAATCAGCATTTAAGAAAAAGTTGCATTTCTGACAGCACCGTGTGTGAGTCACTCGATCGCATCCGACCTAAACTTTGCAGACCTTCTGCGCTATACTGCCTGCCAACTCCAAAAAGAAAACTACACTATAACCAGCAAGGGTAGAGAAGGGCTGGCAAAACCGAAGCAAGTTTTTAACTTAGCATAAGTTTTTTTTTTTTTTTTTTTAAATCCATCTCAGTGTTAACTGGAGAAAAAAATCTTTAAGAGAACAATGGGCCAATATTAAATTGAGTTTGAAAGTCTAATTAAAATATATTATTATTGGCTTAGATTGTAGAAACGCCTTTCTATAGACTAAAATAACAAAACAATTCATAATTAAAGTGGATCTCCTTTGTGTATCTGACGGTTGCTGGTCTCAGTTCAGCCACACACAGCTAATCCATACAGATGAGTCCGCATGAGCGGCAATATGGCGGACGTGTACCACGTGTCACCACCTTAATGCATCTGATCTGGGAACGGCCATCGGCAGAAGCTCATAGTACTACGGAAACATCCAGAATACTCGCGAGGCAATTACGTCCAGTTCATAGTTTAATGGCAGTTTCTGTGAAAACCCTTAATCTCCTCAGCACTATATCAGTGATACGTGCACTAAGTATATCCTAATTAAAGAGATACAAATTTAAGGGGGATTTTACTGGGGGAAAAATATAATTAAAAATGAGGGGATTACAAAAGGTTCATACAGAATAAGCAGCTGAACCAATTATTTCTTAGTTTGAATTCATTTATACTTCTCTGGAAAAAATGTTTCTCAAGCCAAATTGTACCATTAAGGATTGTCACAGGGGGCGAATTATCCCTTTCTGTGAGGGTGCAGCATTCGGAAATTACGGCATTATTTTTCCCGTAAAGCAGTTTAAGAATAAGCAAACTTAACGACAAGCAGACGCACGTAGTGCAACTTCGGGAAGGAGGGAGGTGTGAGGGGAAAAAAAATAGAAAAAGGCAACGTTGACCTTTCGAACGGCTTTTTGTGAACATGGGGAACAGAAACGCTGAAACACAGATGCCGGAGCTGACAGTGGTAATTACCGGAGACAAAGCAACACGGCGGGCCGAGAAGCGTTTAGATGCCGGAACACGGCACACCACCAGCGGCGGCCAGTACATATTTTCCGCCGTGTTCCCGGAAGACAGCATCCAGTCGGCCTGCCAGTCCCTCTCGCTCCTTGGGCGAGGGGAAAAGCAGGCAAATCGCAAACAGTTAACATGTTTCTGACAGGGCGCCGCTTCCCGTGTTGACATAAAACTTTAGGTCATTCTGGCCGGCTCGCAAGATTCCTGATTCGTAACTGCACTCCTGCCAAGTGTCTAGCAGACGGTCCGCTCTCCCGCTCTTTTGTTTAGCGAGGGGAGAGCGCCGCATTTGTCTGGGACGGCCCACAGACAGGAAAGGATGATGTCAGGTGCGCTGGATTCTGTGTGCCTCACTGCCGCTGACTCCAGCAGAAAACCATTATGTTAAGCTGAGCTCCCCCAGGTTCGAGCCCCCCAGGATCCATCACTTGACTGGGACGACGCCTCCGATTCCCCGAGCACACCGATCACTCCCCTCTGCGTACATGTGGCGCGTTCCGGCTCAGGGAATAACTGAAGCCGAGAGTTACCAGTCACATGCATTAACAATCGAACGGGGGATCCACTTTGTTCCTGTCTCATTTTGTTGTTTGGTAGACACATGCTTTTGATTTGGGACAATAAGAAAGAAGAAAAATATGATGTAAGAATTGCATTTTTACACAGTCTTATGCAGAATTCTTTTTAAAAAAAAATACTATTTATAGCTTCTAATGTTCAAAACAGATATTCAGCACCTTGACTCTTGCATAAAACAGTAGTTATGAGCGCTTGTATTCCAACTGGTATTTTCCAGTAACTGGGCTTTCTAGAAGAAGCAATTTGGTCTTGGGTTAAAATAGATTTCTGTTCAAAAAGTACTTAAAATTTTCTGGACCTGCTTTTGTTTGTCTGTGAGCATTTTCTGTGTCATTATCGGCCTTTTAACAGGTAGGAAACATCAAGTTCTCCAGATTTATGTAGCCGCCTGCCTCCAAGCCACTAACCGGACAATGGAGCTGATTGGACAGGGGCCTAAAACACCAGCAGAACACGCAGAGAAAAAGACGAGAAAAAACATGGGCGTCCTCAGTCTGTCAGGTATTTTTTTATTTTTAACATGAACATCTCACCCGATTCTAGACTCAGAATGCCTCCCTATTTATGATAAAATGGAATGCAAATGTCAGTTTAAAAAAATTAATGAATGCTTATGACCATGTGAGTTCAAATATTAAAAAGTGAACTACAATTTCCAGATTTTCTTTGCTCTACAGTTTAGAAATTCCAGGCTTATAATTTAGAATAAACACAATATCAGTATATTTCTATACAGCAGATTTATCACAATACAAAAAACATTTCCCGTAAGAGAAAGAAGTAGGAGCAGTTATACTACACTATAAATTAAATGCATCATAAACATTTTAGCTATTAAATATTTTATATATTTGTTCATCTGTTCTGCTTTGCTAAGTTACTGCCAAATTATGCATGTTGTTTATAAAACTTTAAAAAAAGAAATAGGAAAGTGTTTTACAGCTTCAAATGCACAATTGAACAAACAAATACTGGGGCAGAAGTATACAACAGTAAAAAGTCACATTAATACTCTGTGCGTGACACGTGAAAATATTTGCAACAAATAAAAGATATTTTTGAAATTGCACAGCAAGGTTCCCAAGTTAGATTGATGGGTTGCTTCATCCCCGCTGACGTGCCTGACAGCATCAAGTGAGGAAAACATTTAGAAACTCGAACGCAACATATATTTTTAACACAGAAATGAGCGTGGGCTGAAAGGTACAGAGAAGGCTTTTAGTCTGGATCCGCCCGCTACCCCCTCGACGGGCCGCGGGATGCGTGGTGACTCACAGGGGTGCCTCCCCCCCCCCATTTGGGGACTGACTCTGCCTGCAATGTCACTTCCATGGCTTGGCATTTCAGAGACAAATGTTAACACGTCACCGTAGTTGAAATCCCATGAATAATTGTTTGGCGCTATCTGACATGAGTACAATCTCGCCGCGTCAAAAAGAGCCGCTCAGATAAATTAACAATATGCAAAAGAGGACCGACTCTGGGTTTGTTTACCCACAGAGGGAGAACGATGTCACATGAAATTTATTCACCAGTCCGAATGTAGTAATTGAGGCTATAAAATCTCCAGTGATGAGAAATGATATACTGTCCATCACTTTGAGTATTTGCTGATGACGTGTAGCTGTTAGTTTTGTAATGACTTCTTCAAAGATAATCAGCAATAGCAGCAAAGATATACATCAATTAATCATCATCACTGTTGAAGTTATAAACAAAGAGACCCAGATTTGTGCAAAACTCTACTTGTTTCCCTTTTGAGAAGGGAACTGTAAGTCTCACATCGGCAGGTAAGATATGCCACTTTCTAATCCCATGAGTAAACTGCTGTTGTACTTAGGAGTGAAGTAATTGAATTTCATTGCTAGTCATTACATGTCAATGTAAGTAGTTCTGGATACATGTCATAACCAAGTAAAAAATAAACACACCACAAACCCATGCCTGGATAAGATCAGCTGAATGCATAAAAATAATCAAATGTCAACCAAACCTGAAGGGCAATCTGGTCAGCAGGAGCAAGAAGGTGGAGCCAGAGAGTGTCGAAGAATCAACCGCACCATGACAAGCCCAAGCCACCCGCCTCAGTCCCTGGCCAATGGGACAGAAGTTGGTTTGAAATAGGACGCCAATAGCACCCAAAAAGTGCTCTTCGTCATCAGAGCAGATCCGACACTAAAATGACACATGAAGTCAACACGGCCTGTATACCAGTCTTGGCTAGAGTCTAGCTGAAGAGCCGCGTGGGACACTTCTCTGACTGGCCACCAGGGGTTCCACTGAGACTGGGGCGAGGCCCGGATGAGCTCGACGGCAGGGTCTTGTGCAGATCAGCGCCATCGGAAGGCAGCACCCTTCAGTATGCGGCACGGCCGAGCTGGAGGAGGCAGGGCGGCCGGACGGGGGACAGGGAGGAATACCGCGATGGAAAGTCACTAGCGCGCCCTGAGAGCCTTGGTGACTTCATCGCGGCTCCTGAGCGCTAAGGCTAATTTAAGAAAATGGTCTGGAACAGTCAGCACGCCATATAGGCACAGGTCATGATTCTGGCGAGAGGGTCTGAGCGAGCGCCCTGTTCATCTGTCACACGGTACACGTGGGCTGAATTTTCTACCCCGAAACATATAAACTCAGAATGAATGTGTGTGCATACCCATATACTCTGAGATGTACATATTTATCATAATGACCCACAATTTGTACGAGCAATGATTGTAACAGATGAAGTGAAAGTAATCACCGCAGTGACCTCATGGGTCACTCCAAACGGCCTCGCATCCACGGCCAGAAAAGTCATTATTTATCCCGGCCAGCAAGGGCAGTCTTGGCTCTCCGGTGGGCTCTAGATCGACGCTTGACAAGCTTGTTTTTTTTTTTGTCTTGGTGACCCCAATTTGGCCTGGGGATGTCTATGTGAACGGCAGGCCAGCGGCTCGCAGCTGGGAGGGTCCGTCTCCCTGCCTGCGCTGGTCTTCAGGCCCTGCCCTGCGTGAAGGTACTTTTTTTCATAAGCAGCACCCCTTTGGAGATCTTGCCTGTCACAACGTCTGCTGGAAAAACAAAAATGAAAAAAAAAAAAACACTTGTGTATCACAGTAGCTCTGACATGCAGACTCACGGGTGTTCGAGTCAAACTCACGGGACCCTCCCCCTCTCACGTTTGTAAAATGTCACTTGAAATAGGAGGAATTATTCAGCTCCGGGTTTACGTTAAAGCAAGAAGCCATTGCCGAAGAGGGGAGTGCGTTTCAGAACCTCTTCGAATGCAAGGACGCGTTTGTCATGGAGGGGAAGGCATGCACAATATCAGTGCCAGCGTTTACCACCCCGAGGAGGTGCTCCTGAAGAACGGCCTCTCGCTCCCGCTGTTCATGCACTCTTCCCTCTCAACTGTCAAGGAGCAGCTCCCCGTTATAAATGTGATAATTTTTCCTGAAGTATTTTCAAAGCGTTGATGTATCTGTCCTTTGAAGATATTCAGGCTTTTATCTGCACCTGGGAGCGCTGTTTTTTTTTTTTTTCTTTCCTAAAGATTTACCAGTGTTTTTTCTGGATCCTCAGCCACCTTGTTGGTTTCGCGGCCCCACATAGATCACAACTCTGTCTCTCTCTCCCCCCAGCCGCCCGCGTCTTTGAGTACCGTGTGAGTGGAATTGCCGTAATATCGTTTTGTAAGTCTCATTAATATTGCATTAGCTTTTTTGCGTATTGACACAGGTGGGAAAATGCTATGGGAGAAGAAAACCTCCATTTTTAACTCAATGGATTCGTTTGAAAAGGGGGCCGTGCCGAAAATGGTTAGGCGCCGCATGCGGAATCAGAATTTTTAAATATGGCGTTATTTCTCCCCGTTTTCATCCACAGCTTGTGCGTTGACATTTTCCAGAGGTGAAACAGAAAATCAAAAAAAAATAAAAAATGTCCCCCCCCCCGGTCCTTTCTGCAAATAAAGAGAGCTTCAGCGCCGATTCCGCGTATTCGGCTCGAGTCGTTATATTCTCCACCAGCATTTGCATTTAACTCGACTTCTGAATGCCCCTCCTGACACGTTGTGCCTCGTCAGTGTCGAGAGGAATATTACTTCTCAGAAGAAGCGATCCCGGCTTTTACTGGAAACATTACTTTACTGTATGTGTTGGCCCTGGCCCCCCTGACAGGGTAATGAGTAGTAAAAACGCCAAGGAAAATGTGTGATATCAAAGTATGATTTTGTTCTTATGATTTTTTTTTTTTAACAGGAATCACGTCAACATTTTCCTAATTTAGCAGACGTTTAGCCGGTGGGGGATGAGGACACATTCATTATTCCTACAGCCAAGTGGCACAGCTCAACAGTCCTTGCTAGAGCCAGGCCGTCCCGTTTTGGAGGGGCGGATACCAGTATGGGACGGATCTTTCATCTACACAGGCTGCACAGTAGTGCACACATGTACCTCAGATGTACAAAAAAAAAAATGCCATTACATTTTATAAACTCTGGAAAACAAGTCCATAAGATAGTGCTTTCTAGAGAAGAGAATGTTAAGAGATAAAAACATTCTGACAGTGTCAAAAGTCAAGCTGTGGATCGTATGTCATTTCAGTCCTCTTCTCATAAGGATTTCTAATTACTTCCTCCTTCCAAGCTCGTAAAATATATCCTCCAGCTCAGAGCTTTCTCAAGCCGCAGATCTCGTCAATGCTGTTTGTAATTATCAATTCATTTGGGAATATGGTATTTCTTTAAAAATAAAGAATTGTTTTGCTCTTGGACAAAACCACATCACAGGGCATCAAACATAAGTCTTTATTGTATCTTCAAACCAAGAAAATAGAAATTCTACAATCAGGCGCCACTGACGAGCTCTGAGTCCCTCAGGAATGCATCTCGCTTTTTGAAGATAACATTGTTTTTTTTATTATTATTATTATTCCTCTGCAGTTGTCAGATCGTCTTAAATGACAAATTAAAGTCAAGGCAAATTATTCGTGAGACACATTTTGAGGAAAAGGATATGTTGCGTGGAAGTAGTCCAAAATGGAGATGAAAAAGAAATTGATGAATGACTACTGGGGAGTCCTTAGGTGCAGTAGGTTTGTCCCCTAAACGTCAGAATCAGTCTGGAATGTGACCTGTTTTCATCACCCTACATGTCAACGTGTACGTCAACATGACATCTGAAAATTAGCTTTGCGACACATCGGTTATTCAAGAAAAATGTCAGAGCTTTGTGCCGCCTACAAAATTAAGTTCTTTGGTGTGTGTGTGTGTGTGTGTGTGCGTGCGTGTGTGTATGTGTGTGTTTTTAACCACACAGCCAGCCTTTGGAAGGAATTCACGCACACAGAGATCTTCCTAGTGCATTGCAATGCTCTGAACAAAAAGGGGTGGCATTTTAAATAAACAGCCAGAATCAGTATGTTTTGCAGGAAATCTGCAAGCACAGAGAGGATGCACTGACAATTCTTCAGCTGAACTTTCAGTGTAGTTCTTAAGTCTTCACCCAAGAATGTATCATGCAGTTTAAAACTTCTGCACAATTTTACCAGTCAAGGAGTTTATTAAACCAAGAGATGCAAGCTTTCACTCATTAGAGAGAAAGAAAACACATAATTGAAATATATGTTATAAAGCAGTACAATATAACTTATAACAAGATACAGACCAGAGCAGCCAATGCCTTCATCAGAGGAACCCAGAGTATTATGGGTTGGCATGAACTGATTTTCATAGTGAGCAAATTCATAAGAACGTTACATTGAGTCGACATACATTTTAAACAGACATCTACAGCGTTAGACAAAAAAAACTGAATTCTTGATGTCAGAAACAGATTAACAGAATACAGTTTACTCTGAAATATATCTGCGTTGATTATTTGTAGCACTAAAAATGAGGGGAAACAAACTTAAAAAAAAAAACTTAATAAAAGAAAAGTTTCTTACCCATTTGGTTTATATTGGTTTATAATGGGAAACCAGTGTACCATGATCTGTGAAATGCTCTGGAACTTGGTCAGCAGAGACTAGGTAGCTTGCCTAATTAAGATTGTTATCCTGGTTTTAAAGGCATTTACGACAGAGTAGAATCTCTAATTATGTCCAGAACAAGGCAAACCATATACAGACAGATCCTGAATGTCAGAGAACAGGCTACTTAATTCAAAAGGGCCTCCGTGAAAGAAAAGGCATATTGCGAATCAAACATATAGAGTTATAGTGCCCTGGGTCATTTGTTACCTGTCATCCAATCTACAGGCAGTAATTGCCCTGCCTGGCTGACAACGTTCCTCACCCATTAAAGGGATATTAACTGCAACCTTCAATCAGATCTTTGTATTGATTTTATCAGTACAAAATCTTCCACATTAAACAATTTAAGCAGAAAAATCACTGACTATGCCACTGATAAGAAATAAAATAGTTTATATGGTTGATACCATAATAATTCTGCTGCAATAAATCAATGAAATGTACACTTTAAGGGAGAAAGACAGAACAGAGTAATGCCATCCATAAAATGAGAGGAATTCTTATGTCTCATGCATAATTATTATTATTATTATTATTATTATTATTAATTGTTGTTATCATTGTCATTTAAAAATGTTGTTATTGTTTAGAATAAGAACAATATTGTAGCTAGAGTTCTGGGGACCGCACATAGCTCAGTGACTTAAGGGCACTATGTTCATGGCCATTAAGTCACTGATTCGAGTCCCCGAGTTGGCAGATTGATGTCCCCAGTGGGTCCCTGAGCAAGGCCCTTAACCCCAGTCACTCCAGGGACTGTCTGACTCTGATCTCTCAAAATAAATAAATTAAATACACACACGCACACACACACACACACACACACACGCACACACACACATATATGTCACTTTGGATAACTAATGTCTGCTAAATCATTTAAAATTGAAATGCTGTAACAGGTGTTTCATTCTAATCAGTGGAAGAGCTCACCTATGATAAAGTGTCCGGGGAATAAGGGACGTCAGGAGGGACATTACCGCAGAAATGGCAGCCCCGCTCTTTACGGCTATCATACAGCAGCTGGAGTCTATGGCTGCAGTAGCCTATAATGTGACATACTGTGGGCTGGGGAACATTAACATGGCCACTGGGACTGGGGAGGGGGGAGATCTGTGGCTTCTATTTGTCTCAGGTCTCAAGCATAGGGCCAGAGGTCCGACATAACTGCAGTATATGGATATCTATATGATCGGAAGCCGAAAGCCCCAACGTTTCAGCGACGCACCGACGCATCTGCGTCACTGTGCTGGGTTCTTACAAAAATGCCGTAAATATGTTCTCTGCAAAGGTGATACTTAATTGCCCAAGTTTATGGTTACAGTAGCAACGTCTGCAAGCAGGCAAGCATCTCTGCTGCCCTGTATATATAGTAACATGTAACAATATATTTCTCTCATTTTATTTAAATGACAGTGCTGCAAAAAAATCCCAGTTATATAATAGTTTATATATAGCTAACGTTTGTCTAGCTGAGTAAGCCAAATGAGTAGTGATATTAGCTGAAGAGTTCTGGGGGGATGGCGCCGCACCACTTTATAAGTGAACCTTAAAAGCTGAAGAATTTTAAAGAATACACATGCAAATTTTTATTCCGATTAAATTTGTCGTAATATACACTTCCAATTCTATCGGACCTATTAAAATACTAAAACACAAAGGAAAGCGCGAAACCAGCGTGCGTTACTTTACATGAAAGGTTCAGTGTAATGCCCGCAGACACAGATCGTGACCCCGTCACGGGGCGGAATCCCGTTTTCAGTTTGGCGGGGGATTCCCTGTGGCCAGACAGCCGCTGAAGAGGCTGCGATCGCGGGGCAGGTAGTACACAAGCGCCGGGTCCGACCCAAAGTAAATAGGAAAGAGGAAAACGGACACCGCTGTCAGCAGCAAAACTGAGCGAAGAAAGAGAAAAGCCGCACAGAGTGAGTCTGTGTTCCCGTTACACTAAAGAAAATATTTCTACAGTTCTGCGGCGGTCCTGAAAGACGGGACAGATTAAAATGCACCCCACCCCACCCTAATCGAGTCTGTCATCTGTCGATTCATTGTCACTTCATTTTCAGAGAGCTGTTTTGAGAGTCTTCCTGGATATTTTTCAGTGCATACTGCACCACGCCGAGGACTTCGGGGCATGATTCCATCCAGCTGCCTTTGCCTTAAATGCCTTTGGCATTTCAAAGCGGCTGCTTTTGTTTCTAGTGCCAGGCGATGTTTATTTAGGTTCGAAATAAAACGGCAATGTCGTGTATTTTCTGTCATAGCTAAGTGCGACGCCGCCTCGAAGAGACATTACCGAAAGTCAGGGCCGAAAGGAAGAGGAGACGCTTCTGGGCCTGGACCCGGTTACAAGATGCACATGTCGTGGAAAGAGCATGTAGGCCTCCAAAACAGACACAGACATGGAAGACACACTGATCCTCCATAAAGAGAAGAACTACACGGTGTTTTAAGTCACTGTTATTAACGGGAAAGTGGGATGTGGTATATCTATATTATTAAATGCGATGTGAAAAGACGCTTATAATATATTTATAACATATGGATAACCATTATATCGCATTATATTGATGATAATGCAAACAAGGCCGGGTCACTTTCTCTTCTTATTCTGTTGATGTTTCCTAAACTTTAAAATATGCAAAAACACGCTAAATCACAAGTTAACCTGACGTTATGGGAACAATAAAGCGCGGAATAGTCACACTTTCCTGAAAGGAAACTATTCAAAAGAAAATTTTCAGGTAATTTCTTTGTTAAAAAAATCAGAACACTGTTTGAGCAAGACAAGAAAGCAACGAATGGCCATTAATAGGCCTGATTTGCCACATAATGTTGTAAACCATCTTCCACATGTTCTGAGGCCTCTGCACATGGGGAAGGCATCAAAGCCGCCACATTAAACAGTTTGGTTGAATTTACTGCATACGTGAATAAAAGTGACAGTTTCTTCTAAGAAAGAGGTACTCTTTGTGTAGTGGCCGCATATGATAACATGTGCAGTGGACCTAAAGCTGCATTTTCTCTGTCACTCTGAGGCTATACCAGTGTCGTTACTGTTGTACAAATTAAAGCATATAGTCACTCCGCAAGCTAACGAATTCGATGATAAGATAATAACGAGTGTGGTACTATGGGAACCAAATTAAAGATAGTGTTTTCGCTGAAACATAACCCAAAACAGACAAACAAGATCTTTATTCACACGAGAAGAACGACAGTAATAAAAAAAAAAAACAGAAGAAACCACACGGCACATTTATTGGATTTGCTACGAAACTGTGGCATTTCTGATTTTTAAAACTTCGGGAATCTCTTACATGCAAGGGACCCTAAGAGATTTTAATAGATGAATTAACAACTTGTTAAGCATTTTTTGCTTTCTTTTTCTTTTATCTTCAGTTTGTTTAAGACATTGCTGTGAATGATAGAAAAAAATAAACCATGAAACGGAGTATTTTTGTTCCTGCAAATGACATTTGATACCGTAATCACAGTTTGGTTACCAACCATAAGTACTTTTGAAATGCAAAAAGCAAAGATTTATGGCTGCCAGGCTGCGTGTCTGCACAATCAAAAATTGTTTACAATTATATTTGAAATGTACAAATCTTGGATACAGTATAATCTAGAAGAATGTCTATTCCAAGAAAAGCAAGACCGTTTTGTTAAAACCAACTTCTGTTAAGCATTATAGATCAATATATCTATTGTCGCAAACATTTTTTTAAAATTCTTTCTTTCTCTTTTTTTAAACAACATTTCCGTAGACCAGCCCAAGGCGCGCAGTGCAGAGAATATACCGAAGGAGTGGTGACATTTATCGGACATCTCACCATAGCAAAGCTGGCTATGTGAAAGTTTCCACACGCTTCACATCGCCACGCTTAATAATATTAAGCGCTTAATAAGATATCACTCCTCACTCGGCACTGATCTGTTAACTTTTATTTAATGACCAAGGCGCACCAAGTTTCTAATTATATTTTGACTGTCGTTTTATCTTTTTCTTTTTATATATAAAAAGGTGTAATCTCTTGTGATACACTTGGCTAGCTCTCTTCCATTTAGGCTAGGCTACATAAATATAGGCCGGCCTATTAATTCATGGATGTAGAGTTTATGTTATGCCTTAATATATAAGACGTAGCCTATGTAAAAGATGGAAAAGTATAAAGCAAAGTTTACTGTCCCTACGTGATCCCGGAGGGAGTAAAGCCCAGTGTGTCCGGGATCAGGATGATTCTGACGAGAAGAGCAAAGCCCAAATCCCGGCGTGTATCGCAGAGCAGCATCCTAAACCCCAGGATGAAAGCCGGGGATAAGCATCCAAATTTCCATCTTTACTGCAAAGCCGCGCTAATGACTTTGAGGAAGAAATGACGATATGTATCCCCCCACCCACCCACACACGCACACGCACACGCACACATACACACAAATCGGTCACTTTTTGCACTTTTTCTTTCCAGGGATTAATCTCAGCGAGAGTACACCTATGAAAAGCTGTTTGTTTTTACTTCTGTCGGCGTGGCGGGTAGGGGGCGGGATTGGGGAACAGTACCCCCATTCAGCACAGCAGAGCTCCTGCACCTGCCCACAAAAAACTTCTTAGCAATTACGTTAACGGGAGGCAGCAAACGGGGGCAAGTGGCCGGGCTCGCTGACCGGGGGGCGGCAAAGGGGCGCCGCAGTAAGGTGCTTCTGGGGACCTGAATAGCCTGGTTCATCCCGGGGTCACATGTGTTCGCTGAACCCTATTGCTCTGACAGACCCATTACCGAAGAATAAATAATAAACGCCGCTTAATCTCCCTCCTCGCTATTAGGCGCAATAAAACCAGCAGGTAGGTGCCATTTAAAGTGCCACGTCTCAGATTCCTGCAGCCGGAGGCCCATATGGCCATGAGGAATTAACCGTGGACCCATAACAGGACTCTTGCTGAACTGTTTCATCCTACAGGTACACACACACACACACACACACACACATATATATATATGTGATGTCTTTTCAAACCCGCATACGACGTTTATCATCATTAATCTGTGTGATGCACAATGTAGGCCTAAATGGTTTGATGGTCATTTTCCTTGCATTAAGATAACTTTAAAATTGGATCCTAAGCATTTTTACACAACACAATGGACCAGTAGTTCCCATTTTATTTATTTATTTTCGCATTGTACTTTGCATATAAAGGGAATTGAACAAGAGAGGCCAAATCCAATAATACACTTATTGAATTTATTTCCTTGCCAACCTTAGACTAGCTAGGTGTTATATCTCTATGAAAAAGTTTATTCTAGAATAGCATTTGCTGAAAAGTAGCTCTGTATCTAGTCTTAACATAGCTAATTCAAATGATGAAGGAATTTTCACTATATATTTTTTCTCCCTACAGTTTTCTGGCTTCTGTAAAATGTTCATTATATAGATTAAACATTTATCTGCAAGATTTCAGAATTACTCAAGAACCTCTGATGTTCAAATATGAATTAACAACAAACAATGAGGATTATTAGTGAATTAATGTTATAGCTATTCAACTGTCTAACAATGACACTCAGATTGAAAAGAGAACAGTGAACAAAGTGAAAATTATGTTTAACGCACTAACTTGTATTGACAATTCATGAATCCACCAAACATGTAGCTAGTTCTGTAAGGTCTGGCTTCACAGAAAGCTATTTGCATAGTACAAATTCATTATTCATTAAAAGTCATTTACTGATGAGCGCATATGCCGCACTGAAGAACACGGGGAGTGGCAGTGTGAAGGTCTGCATGAAGTGTGCCAGGCTAAATGGCCATTAATTATACACATCCCCACTGGTCCAGTGTTTACATGGAGTTTGCATATCAAATAGATGTTTCCAGTGATGTCCTACTGTAGATTCAGGGTGGGCCAAGAAATGCCATTCCCCAAGCTCCAGGGAAAAGCTTTGTGTTTACAGTGCAAAAAACCCTTGATTCAATATAATGATTGATCACAATAATTTACTAATATTTAAGAGGTTCTTTAAAATGCGTTTCTTTGCTGGCTTCTTAACCCTGACCAATAAAAAGTTCTCCATTATTGTAAAGCAAAACATTTAGTAATCAAATTAAATGTATATTTTGTTTTGAATTAAATATGCACTACATACACTAGCCGCACTCCCCCTCCCCCTTTATTCACTAATTCATTGTCATTATACTAATAGAATTATTATTTATAATAATAAGATATTGAGGTGAAATCGAATTTTAGCTTAAATAATGATTTGATTATTGTTTTGTTCATTGCCATAATTCAAAGCACATATGAAAATGTTTATAACCATAACCAAAATATGGCAATTTCTCAGACAGAAAAAGGGGGGGGTATGGTTCTATAAAAAAAATATTTACGTAGTCATAGTCTGTCACTTTACTCTGACCTTTTTCGGCTGTTAGATTTCATTTGTTTTATTGAATTGTTAAGGGCAAAGAGGACACACAAGCAAACAAACAAGAGCCACTTCTGTGAGGGAAAGTTCCGGAAGGCAAGAGGAGGCCTCGTTATAAAGATGGGGGGCTAAAGGAGGACATCAACACTGTCTGCTGGAAGTCATTAAGTTCTCAAGAAGAAGAACAAGAAGGAGGGAGGAAAAAAAAGTCCCTAAAGAAGATAAAAGTTTCCATTTTCTAAAATGTAAATCAAAAACATATTCATTAGTATCGGAAAACTAACATGCAAATATCCACCACTTGAAAAGCACTGCTAAATATGTACAAGAGCAAAAACAGAAAATACATCTGGCGCTGGCTTGTGAGGCTCGCTCTTCTGCGTATTATCTGGAGAACCTCTCTGCTCCACGTCTGGCTTTTTGAGGATTATGGTAACTGGTGGGATGACATAGAATGATAAGCCGCTGTGGCCTTTATTTATTTTCCCTGTGAACGGCACAGATGGAGGGGGCTGGTCCCGCGCCGCCTGCGGGTTGCTCGATGCCCGGCAGTGTTTATTCGTCCTGATCGGGCACCGTCTCGGGCGGAAAAGGAGCGGGGAGCTTGACGGCCCGGGTGAACGGGGAGTATTGTGCCCAAATTAGGACGTTTAGTCGGGGCCGCAGAGCGTGTTACGCCATGACATTGACCGTGCCATGCGAGTCATACCGATGTTCCCCTCCGTGATTTACTCATGTCTGTCTCCATGAGGCCCTGCCCCCCCTAAAAACCTCCCTGAGAGCGGGCCATCGTGGCACGGAGCTTTCGGCAGTCACAGGCAGCCTGACTGCCAGCCCCCCCAGCCCCCGTCATGCTCATGGTACCACCCTGTCTTTCATCCCCCCGTTTATGGTGTCCCCTTTTTCAGATGATTGTTTTTCATTCCCCCTCTCCTTTCTTAATGTCTAGATATGCACTTTTTTTTTCCCTTTCTCGCAGTGCCTTGTGGCCACTCTCTGTTCCCCGGTTCGAATAGCTGACCGCTCGATCTCATTAAGCGGTCGCCGCTGCCTCCTTTCAAACGCCGCCAGCTGGGCTGAGCCTCACCCCCC